TTAATCCCTAACTTGTCTCGGTGTGGTTCTACATCGATATCCTCATTAAGATGCCTTAAACTAGGCCTAAGAATGCCTAGGATGGAATGAGGATGCAAAGATGCCTTTAAAGAACACTTTTCAAAATTTTGCTGAAATAGGGTCCCGCTTGAGCGTGTCTTTCTCCGCTCGAGCGGACATGAAGACAAAAGGGCTACGCTCGAGCGTGGATTACCCGCTTGAGCAGACTATAAAAGTATTGGATGCACAAAATTCACGCTCGACGGGCGCTCGACCCCCGCTCGAGCGTGAGACACAAGTCCTCGCTCGAGCGTGCATTCCCCCGCTCGAGCGGACTGTAAACACATGCAAAGTACTGGATACACGCATTTCCAGCTCGAGCGTCACTTTCCCTGCTCGAGCGGACTGCATGAACACAGGTTGTACGCTCGAGCATGAAGTTCCCCGCTCGAGCGTGAATCCAAATTCTGGAAATTCCAAATTGAACCTTCAAGCTCAAAATCAACTTTAAATGTACCAAAATCGATCCTTTTGGGCTAATTTTCTGGAAAACACTTGTGAACTCATAATATGACATGTTTCAAAGATCAATTTGAGAAATCAAAGCCCAAAGGTAGTTCAATTGAACACAAATTTCAAAGAAATTTCCATAAACATGAAGAACAATGCAAATTCAACACATCCATGGGTTCCTAGGAACACCAATGCTACAAAACAAGCTCAAATGCAATGTTTAACTTCAAAACATGGTGAGTTCATGGATCAAGACCAAAAATATGAACATGCATGCATGATACAAGCTTCAATTCAACAATTTAAGCTAATTCTAGACTCAACTCACTAAACTTCCATGAACCATGCAATATATGACTTAATTTAACAATCAAGAAGGTGATTCTTTTACCTTATGCCTTGAATTCAAGAATGGAAGCTCAAAATGCAATCTACTCTTCAATCTTCTAAGTCTCCAAGCCAAATTCTTGATGAAATCAAACTATCTCCTATCTCTCTCTCTCTCTATTCGGTTTATTGCTCTCAAAATGGCTAAAGAAAAGTTGATTCAAAAGTGTATGAAGTGAGGAGGGGTTAGCCTAGATTATTCCACTAGATGGCAAACTTGTAGATAAGTCCAACTTATGTAATTTCAAGGGCAAAATCGTCTATTTGATAAAATATAAACTAATTTGACAAAAATAAATGTCAAAAAAATAATTTTGAATTTTTAAAAATTATTTTCACCCATTAAAGATAAAATTACGTAAAATTGATAAATCTTTAATACATTTATTTATTTCTTTCTTTTACCAAATTAATTTTTATTATGTATTTAGATGATGATCATGTAATGGGTGATTGTTTTTATTTTCATTAAATTAGTTTCTATTTTTCTAAAGTCAAATATGGCAACAACTTTGATATCATTATAACCAATCCATTAAATTAAAAAATCCAAAACTAAAAGCATTTCATATATTAAATATATCGATTACACATTAAAATTCTAACAATCACCCATTACATGATCATCATCCAAACACATAATAAAAATTAATTTGGTACAAAAATAAATAAATAAATGTCTAAAAGATTTAACAATTTTACATAATTTTATCTTTGGTGAGTAGAAATAGTTTTTAAAAATTTAAAAATATTTTTTGACATTTATTTTTGTCAAATTAGTTTATATTTTATCAAATTGATGATTTTGCCCTTGAAATTAAGCAATGATATTTTCAATTGTCCTTATTTGGAACAAGATTCAAAATTCAGGATAAATGTGTCACAATTGAAAAGGCAATGACCAAAGTGACACGAATCCGAAACTATAAGAACTATTCGTATAATTCGCCCTTTTTTGAATTTTCAACATTCACAATGGCACCGTCTTCTCTTACTCCTCTCTTCTTCTTTTTTTAATTTTATTGTTGTTGTGGGTATTTTTCTTCTTCAACTCGGGCTTCCGATAGCGACTGAAGATGGCAGCGGCGGTAGCGGTGGATTTAGGCATTGGCAGGGCAGGGACGACGATGATGGTGCCTTTAGGTTTGGACTGTATTGTTTTAAGTCTTATTTTTTTCAAACCACATCTATGTGATTTTTCCTGTACTGCATTTTTTTTTTTACGATTTTTGCATTTTGTTGTTTGTAGTTTGTGTTAGGTGTCTTACTTGATCCTTTGGAACCTTGTTCTTGTTCGTGTACTTTGTTTATTTTATATTAGATTAATGATTCGTGTGCGAGTCTTTTTTCGAGAAGAGACTCATTTGGGCGAATTTGAACTAAATAAATTCGGTGGAGGTAGCGGTGCAATATAACTGTCTTTTAACTATTTTTAAAAAAATAAATTTAAAAAAGGTAAAAAAATAAATAAGAAAATATAAAAAAAAAAATGCACATAATACGTTACTATTACTATATATTCATAATAGGTATAGATATAGGTCACCTTCCTGTCTGTGCACTATTATATAACAAATTTATTCCATTTGTTTTGTCACCTCAAAACTATTTTCTGCCTAAGTTTGGCATGAGTTTTTTTTTTTTTTTTTTTTAATATTTTAACCACAAAAAGATAAAAATAAGTTAAAAAGTTTATAAGATAAAATCTTACATTCAAATTATAATCATTTCATTTTTCCTCTCACAAAAGTCAAAAAAGTCAAAAAGTCCCTAATGCTAAAAAAGTCAAAAAATTAAAAAGTCAACTCACATCCCAAACGAAGGTTCCATGTGAAATCTTTTAGGAGAAATTACCTGCACATGGTAATAGTAAAAAAATGTTACATATATGTGAAAATTTTATATTTTTAATTATTAATATTGATAAAATTTACTATTAATTTGTAATTATTTTTTAACTTATTCACTGATTTAAAATTCTCCCTATCTGTTACAAGCCAATCCCCGGGAATTGGGATCCCCCTTCATTTCGGTCCTTCATTCCCTTCTTGCAGGGCCTTTGGGCCAATCAACATCTCCTCTCTACTTTTTCTACACATAATACAAAAAAAGTCAAAAAGTGCACTTATTTAGTCTTTCCAAACTAGGCCTTAAAATTCTCCCTATCTGTTACAAGCCAATCCCCGGGAATTGGGATCCCCCTTCATTTCGGTCCTTCATTCCCTTCTTGCAGGGCCTTTGGGCCCACTTTGAGGCCCAATTTTGATAATCCGAACCGTTCATATTTTTAGATTTATTCAGTATATCATACCTGTAAAAAATCAAGTTGATCGAATATCATAAAGTATGTGTTCGGAAAACTGTTTATTAAAAAATAATTTGTAGTCCCAATTTTCTGAATGCATACTTTCTGATATCCGATCAACTTTATTTTTAACATGTATAATATACTGAATAAATCTAAAAATATGAACAGTTCGGATTATCAAAACTGGACCTCAAAGTGGACTCGAAAGCCCCTACAAGGAGGGAATAAAGGAGGGGACTCAAGGAGGGGATCTGGACTCAATCCCCGGACCCAACTCACCCACTTCTGTACGAACAAGAACACTTGTGACCACTCAACCGCAATATGTGGCTTCGTAAAATGACTTACTAAAACAAGATCTGTAAGTCATTTTTTCTTTTTTGGTGGAAAAAATATTTATCAAAAAATTAGAACAATATTATTAAAGAAATTATTTTCAGTTGAAACAAATAGAGCTTATATGTCAACTATTTTTTTTCATAATATTAGGGTTGTTTCTCTGCTCCTCTTTCAACAGAGAAACTTTTCCAAAAAAAGGGGTAAATTTATATAGCTATTTCAACTATCATTTATAATAACTAGCGGTAAGTAAAGTCAAAATAAAATATTTAATATATATTATGGGTCACTCAATTAGTAAATTTTCAAAAAATTTCACTCAGATCTGGGCTTAATTTTTTGGGGGCTATTTAAAAAATTAGTTTATTTGCTAAAACCTACAAAAAGGTTCATGTTAAAAAAACATATAATTTTTTTGGCATTTTTCTAGTATTTTTAATGACATTTTAAAATGGCTAAAATGAGTTTTTTTAGTGAGAAATAAATCTGTGACAAAAATAAATATAAGTTTTTTTTTTTTGACTTTTTTTATTAAAATATGAGGTAAAAATAAAATTTTGACCTTATATTAAAAAAAAGGGTAAATTACAAATACACCCTTTGAGATTTGCTTAAAATACATATTGTCTCCTGTGGTTTGAAAAATTACAAATACCCCCTTATTAGAATTTTTTATTTAACAAAATTAAGTAAAAAATGAAACTCATAATTGTTCTCCTATACAATAATAAAATTACCTAAATTATTAATTGAAACATATTTTTAACATCATTAAATACTGTTAATTGACTTGATAATTTATTAATAAAATGAGTAATTTGTTATGAAATTAGGAATCTCAGATGATAGAATGTAATTTTTAAAACTACAAAGGACGATTCGTATTTTAATCAAATTTCAAGAGGTGTATTTGTAATTTATTCTAAAAAAAAGAAAAGAAAAGAAAGGGATGAGAATGAATTTATAATTTTTTAATTAAATCAACCTATTTAATCAAATTTAAAGAGTTGAGTTGAGAACAAAACCATAAGATTGAGAACAAGTGTTTTGTCTCCATGCCTACCTAACTAAAACTCTACTAATGAAATCAAAGGCTAATCAGACCCCACACATTTGATTCCTATAGGCCCCACATAAAGATAGAAAGAGATGTGAACCGTCAGATCATACCCTATTTCCTCAAATGGGACCCACAACTTCACAAGTAAAATACTTGATCAAAAATAGTCTCCCATGCAGGAGACAGCTTGACTTCTTTGACTCTTCCTTTTCCACCACCAGCATATTCCCTCCAGGAAAATAAGTGGTCATTTTCTCTCATTTTCCGGGAAAATAACAAGGGGCTACAGAAAGAGAAAAAGAAAAATAATGCAATCGCCTGAAATAGAAAACAGACCTGCACGAGCATGCCTGCCGAAACTAATTACCATTTTTAACTAAAATACCCTACAAATGAAATAAAAGAGATACCACTTCACAATTTCCCGGGAAAAAACAGAAATGACTGTATTGAATTTTCCAGGAAAGGAAAATAGATATACAACATATGATCATTTGATTGATGTCTCTATAACAACACCCACCTTGGAGAATATTAAATATTGCTAGAGAATTTAGAAATACTAGAGAGGGTTAAAACACCTATTTCTTGATCTTCAGTGCTTCACTACTAGTCAACAGTTGGAGATGGAGCTTGGGATTTGATCGGCATGTTGCCGGAAAGTTACCCATTGGAGAAAAAGAGTGAGCTTGTCGATGGAGATGAACTCGTGGCTGCTTGATATGATCTTTGCCGGAAACAATCAAGTGACATTCGTGGCGGTGAGATCGCCATTGTCACCGAGGAAGATGAGTGAGCTCCCGAGTCAGGTGGAGACCCTAAAATTGAAAAACTATCATTTTTTTTTTTTTTAGGGTACGTCAACGGCAAGAGAACTAGTTCAGTTGATTACAAATTTTATTTCTTTGTTAATGGGTATTAGGGTTTTAAATATCAGAATTATTTTAAATAATAAAATCATGATATAGATGTATTTATATTAATAGTGCAATTTTATGTTGTCGGTAAATAATGATAATGGAAGTCTAAAATGCTGTTATTAGTATTGAAGGTCTATAATTCCGTTACGTGCCAATATGGTACATAGTTATTGATATTCACTGATATATTAACCGATATTTAATTGGTCTCTTTTGAGAAGTTAGTTAAAAGTTAAAAATCAGCTTTTAATCTGTTTTGAGTCACATTATCTCTTATATATTTTACATTTTTTTTATTAAAAAGAGTTATATAAAATCAAAAAAATTAAATTTTAACCATCTTCTCAAAATAGGTCATCTGATATTAGCATTGTCTATTGTTATATATATATATATGAATTAATGGAGGCTTACTTGGAGGGTTATCGGACGATGAAGTACGAGCATTTTCAAGTTGGGACTTGGGTTCTTGGCTTGGAAGATGATGAGACTTTCGCCTCCGGCGATTATGATCCGCCAACCTTTTCCGGCAGCTTCGCTTCCCGTTGTCGAACTCCGACAGAACATGAAACCTATTATGATGTATTGAATTCATTATTGAAATTCATACATACAAGTATGTATACATATATAATTAAGCAAAAACAAGAAGTTAATGAGATTGATAGAAAATATTACTATAAAAAGCAAAACCAAACAGTACGTAACCCTAAAACGGCAGCTTATAATAGGAAAAAGAAAAAAAAATCAAGTTACGGACGCTAATGCCCTCGGGATTGCCCCTACGTACGACAAACTAATGATTAGCTGGATAGCATGATTTCCAAGGGCATTTTTGCCATTTTAAAAATTTTGTTAAAAATTAAAATTTAATTTGATTTAAAATTATTTGTGTCCCAAAGAAAAAGAAAACCTCTCAAAATAATGTATAATTTGTTAAATTTTTTCACCAAATTAGTTTTTCAATAATTTCACACATTTATATTAATGAAGTTCTTATCATTTGCCCCCCAAAAAAAAAAATTAATAATAATAATAATTTCACACATTACCTCATCTCAAAGTTTATACAAATTTTTTTTTAGGAAAATTTTTAATCCAGTTGAAGTTCTAAAAAAAACTTGAAATCACTAGTAAACTTTATAAATTTTAATAATTAGAGTATTAAGCTTTCTCATGAATATGTGATTATTTTTTAAAAATTCCACTAAATTGTGAAAAAAAAATTAATTGGTTAGAAAATCAACTTCTGAACCAAATTTAATGGTTTAGAAATTAACTTTGGAACAAAATTTCCAATATATATAATTGCTCAAAAGTTAAATCCTCAACAATATAATTTCTTTAAAAAAAAAATTTTTTTTTGAATAAAAACTAATGTTAATTAAGAGAAAATTGTTGATGAAAATAAGCTCCCAAAACAAAGGAAGAGAGAGGGAGAGATTGATGGATTGTGATGGTGGTGGGGTGGATGAAAATGCAAACAAGAAAGAAACACAAGGGTGTGATAGTAAATTTCATATTCAACCTGCTACATTGTTGACAGAACCGCTGAGTCAACCCGGCGGCGATTACAGTAGACGCTTTGGAGTGAAACTCGCAGACTTTATGGCGTCGGTGATAGTGTTTCGCGTGAGTCAGATCGGCATTACATCCCTCGGCCTGACACCTCGGCGAGTTCACCGAACCTGGTTCGACCGCCCTCGACCGCCTGTACAGCCGGTTCACAAAATCGTCCTCTGAAGACGAGAAATAAGTCCGACCGCCCAAATTCAACCCAATCCTCGACGCGAAGTCCGCAACCGGTTCGCTCTTCGGCGCCACCACGTACCCGCCGTGCTCCACCGTGGCTCCGCCGACGTGGTCGAGAGACAGCATCGCTGGCGAAGGCGGCGCGTAGGAGACTCCGAAGGCGCGTGGGTCGTAGAGAGAGTGCGAGTAGGCTTGGGTTTGGGGGTGGTGGAAAGGTTGTTGTGGTTGATGAAAGTGGTGTTGATTCTGAGAAAACCCAGTTGAATTCACGAGGGTTTCGTTGAAAGCTTGAGCGTAGTGATCGAAAATCTGGCGGTTCGGGTCGGAATCTCCGGTGGCTTCTTCGCCGGAGTGCATGACTGTTGATGGGTTTCCCCATTCGTACTCCAACATTGCTTCAAAACCCAAAACCCACTTCACTGATTAGCTTTTACAACAACCCTTTGATCTGTAGAGCAAAGAAAACAAGAGAAATAACTGGGATTTAGAGAGAGAGAGAGAGGGTGAGAGAGGAAGAGAGAATGGAACTGAGAGAAACTCAGAAGGTGTATATATAGAGTAGAAATTGAAAAACCCTAGTCGTTGTTCATTCATAAATTCAGTGTTTTAAACCTCTGTCTTGCTTTCTCTCTCCCTAATGGTGTGTGAGTACGAGTTAGTTGTCTCCTCTCTCGCTCTCTCTCTCTCTCTCTCTGTGTCCTGTATGTGTAGTTGTGAGCTGGAGGAACTGCGGTTGTGAGGCGGCTTTTTGTTCAGTGAAAGAGAGATGTTGGTTTACACAAGTATGGGAAGTGAATTACGGTTTTACCCAATTAGTAACTGATTAAAGAACACCAAGGATCCTCCATAATTTTTTTTTCCTAAAGTTTTCTAAAGTGGTGTGTTGTATGGGTGAGATTTAATACTAAAAAATTGATGTGACTTGTCATTAAATCTCAACCATACAACACACCACTCTAAGAAACTTTAGAAAAAAAAAACTCTAGAAAATCCTTGCCCATTAAAGAATTGTGGGAACCGATTTATCCACTCCAGATTTTTTTTATTTGGATGATTGCATTTTGCCTTCATTTTTACTAAAAACCTAGTCCGTGGGGTTAAAAAACTTATTTTTAGATAGATTTTTTAATTTTTTAAATTTTTGTGAGAGAAAAAATAAAAGAAGAGTTGCTGATAAGTCCCATATGTAAAATTCAAAATTTATCTAGTCCCAAAATAAAATATTTGCACCAATTAATCCTATATATTTTTAATTGTCACCAAAAAATTCTATTTTTAAAAAAAAAATTAAAGACGCTCCTACATCTCACAACCATCGGATTTTCGTCAGACAGTCATCGAAGACTCGTTGGAATATTCAACATCACCAGGGAATCGGTGGAATATCATCGAGAATTCACTAGAGTATCACCGGAATGTTCTGAACATCATCAAAAGTTGTCGGAATGTCTAGAATATTCGTTGGACGTCAAAAATATCACAGGAAACTCACCGGAATGTGCAGAGTATTGCCCAAAAAAAAAAAAGAATAAACTGAGAAATTAAAGTGAAAAAACAAAGCAAAATATGCTAACTATTGATAAACTGAAAGAAGAAGAAAAATCTAAGAATAACAAAGAACAACAATGAAAAAAAAATATGTTATTTCAATTTTTATAGGATTTAAACAAATAATTTTCAATATTGATCAAATTGAAAAGTACGCTTTAAAACTGTAAAATGTTACAGTTTCAAAGTATGATTCTATTAAGTATTTATCTTTATTAATCCAATTAAAAAACATGCTATAAAACTGTAAAATTTTACAGTTCTAAAGAAAGTTATGAAACTATAAAATTTTTCAATTCAAAAGAATGATTCAATTCAGCACGAAAAAAATTGAAATAGTAAAATTTTACAGTTTTCACCGTTTATAATTAAAACTCGAAAACAACTTGTTCAGAACTTGAAAAAAAAAAATTCATTATAATAGGAAAATAGAAGTGTATAGTACAAAAAAAAGTATTAAAACTAAGAGATCGAAGGAAAGATACAGATATAGAGAGATACTTGTATTCCGATAACTATTTTTTGGTTTAGATCTGGTCGGATCTAATGTAGATCTTCTCAGATTTGATGTAGATCTGAGTAAATCTACATCAGATTTTAGTAGATCTATTCATCTTCTTCGTCGAAAACTCATATCTTTCACCATCAATGAGTACGAAGTAAGGAGGTGGTGCTTGGTGTTTGCTCGTGAATCCCAATCAATGGTGGTCACCGGGCGCTGGTGACTGTAGATTAGAAAGAAAAAAAAAATGGCGTGGTCATGGTCATGGTCATGGTCATGGTGGTCGCCGATATCAGAGAAAGAGAGATACAGAGAAAAGATGAAACAATATGTAAGGAAAGATAAGAAGATAAATGGGTATACGACTTGAATCAGGATCCTCTCCTTGATCTCTCTCCTTACCTCCCTACTTGCTAAGCCATTGGGTCCACTTTTGGGCCCAATTTCGATGATCCAAATCATTCACATTTTAAGATTTGTTAAGTATATCATATTTGAAAAAAATCAAGTTGATCGAATATCAGAAACTAGATGTACGAATTATCGAACTAAAAATCATTATTTAAAAAAAATTTAATAAACAGTTTTCCAAACACATGTTTTCTGATATCCGATTAATTTGATTTTTAACAAGTTTGATATACTCAACCATCTTAAAATGTGAATAGTTCGAATCATCAAAATTTAGGCCAAAAGCGGGCCCAATGACTCAGCAAGTAAGGAGGCAATGAAAGAAATCATGGAAAGGATCTTGATTCATAGGACTTTTTGGTCTATCTAATATATTTTGGAATTAAATAGAACACACACTTTTCAAAAAAGACCAGTGGGTAATTTGTCCAAAAATGAAATAATTATAGTTTAGATGTGGCATTTTAGGATTGTTTAGGAAGTATTAGATTAGTATACTTTTTGACTTTTTACGAAAAAATGTGAAATATGAGTTGGGTTTGAAGTGATATGATAGAGAGGTGATGTGACCCAAATAAGATGATTGTAACCCAAACAGGATAATGTGCTAAAATAGCATTAGCACATGCCAAATAAACACTTTGTCTTATTGACTTTTTAATCTATTTTATCTTTTTGTAACTAAAATAACCAGAAAAACTCATGTCATACATAGCCTACAAATATTAAATTTATATAATAGTTTGTCTTTGACAACTCGGTTAAAAGTTCCTTTTTTTTTTAATTTTTGAATTTTTAAAATCACATTCAACTTGTTTGGTTTTAAGTTTTTTAAAACACTTTTCAGAAAATTCTATTTCTTATTTTTTGTATTTTTTGTTTTATTGAATTTTTTTAATATTTTAAGCAATTTTTTTAAAAAAAAATTTAGACACACCTAACATAAATATACTTAAAAAGTATAATTTTTGTGAATTTTTTTTAAAAAAAATTCACTAAATACAAAAAAAATGAAAATTCAGTATATTTTTCATATTTTTGTGTATTTATTAATTTTTTAAAATATTTTTTTATAAATATTTTACTTTGTAAATACATCTAAATAAGGTGCAGCGAAAAAATTTTTAAAAAAAATGTTTAAAATTTTAAAAATATTCATTAAAAACAAATAAAAAAAACACGATTTTCAAAAAACTGAACTCAAAAAATTGAAATCAAATACATTGATTATTTTTTATTTTTTTTACACTTTTTTTAAAAAAAAATTAACTTTTAACCTTTTTCTCTAAACAAAAATAGAACAAATTTAAACCATACAATAATAACTTTTTGAATAATTAAATCTGAGTGTCTATTTTGAAAAATAGGTTAAAAATTAACTTTTTTATTTTATTTATTATTATTTAAAAAAAACATATAAAAAAATTAAAAACATTAAAAAAATAAATTTTAGCTAAATCCTCAAAATATAGGGACAAGCCACTAGGAGGAAACTTCGGCTGGAAGGGGTTTGCATATGGATCTTCTCGTCCACTCCTTCAATTTTCAAATACATCTCGTCGCTATGATTAAAATGTTAAGTCTTGAACACGTTAATCAAACAAAGTCTTAGGGTTGGTTTAGCATAAATTAAATAATACAAAAAGTTAAAAAGTCACTATCTTATTTAAGTCACATCATTTTATTTAAATCGCATCCCTCTCTAACACATCACATCAAACCCAACCCAAACGCAATCCATATAAGTCAATAAGTCAAAAAATACACTTTTTTAAAACATCTCATACCAACTCTTATTAATTACACTAAAATTCATCTCAATTATAGTAAATTTCAATTGACTCCCTTCATCTATGACCTCGTAAATATTTATTCCTCTAATTATAAAAATCATATAAATAAATCTTTTTAAAGGTGATTTAGGGGGATTTACACATGATAAAAGTGACATAATTTTTTTACAATTGAGTGAGTCAAAATATACAAATTCATAAATAAAATTATAAGAAGTTAAATCCATTTGAGAAGATGGTTTGTGACTAAAATAGCTATAAAAGACAAAATAAGTTATTTTAGCCACAACAAACAAAACATTACATTCAACCCATAATCATTACACTCTTTTCTCACAAAAAAAAGTCAAAAAAGTCAAAAAATCTTTCCCAAACTAATTTTTTTAGCCCAAGCTAAAATAACCAAAAATATCAAAAAAACTAACCCACTTTTCAAACCAACCCAAAATAATATCCATCAATAATTGATGACATGTTGGTGCAAATAACCCAACATAAAAGTAATACTACACTCCAAAATATTTATCCAGTCGTCGCTTGACAGTAGACTTTTTTTAAGTTAATTTTTTTGACTTTTTAACTATTTTAGTTGGATTCATTTGGGATGTGAGTTCGCTTTTTAACTTTTTGACTATTTTAGTTTAGGGTTAAAAAGTCTCGTTTGTGATGGACTTTTTAGTTTTTTTTACTTTTGTGAGAGAAAAAATATAATAATTATGAGTTAGATGTGAGTATTTGTCTTATTGAACTAAAATGCCTATTTTATTTTTTGTGACCAAAATAGCTAAAAAGTCCTAGCTTTTTCTTCCCAAACAAATCCTTGGGACTAAAAGTTTGATTGGTTTGACATTTTAATTTTTTTTACTTTTATAAGGGAAAAAATAGAATGATTATTATTTAGGTATATCAGGTTGGCTTATTAGCTTATTTTAGTCTGTTTTGTATTTTGTACTTTTTTAAGAAAAAATTTATTGCTAAACAAAGCCACAGTATCAATGATATGTGATCGAGATATATTCATGTATGTGATCGAGACATATTCATGTATGGATTCATACTTTGAATTTTAATCTCAACGCAGGGCAAGGTTATGGAAAAAAAATTCTGGGTAAAAAGACTTAAAGAAAATAGGGACTCTTTTTGTGAAGTTGGTTTTTAAAGTAATTTTTTGATTTTTTTATGAGATAAAAAAATAAATTTATTTAATTTTTTTTTTAATTGAATAGATAAGTGTGAAAACAAATAAATACTAATTGATGTGTACAACAGAAACCTTTGCTATTGAAGTTGAATTCTTGACATTTTTTTAAGTATTTAAAACTTTTTTAACCAAAAATTTCCTAAATGAAACAATAAATTTTTGGATAAGTCACAAATATATCTTATATGGTTTGTTTAAAATATGAATTGCCCCTGTAATTTTGGAAGTTATATCTTACACTTTCAAGTTTATAATCGCATAATAAATGGCCAAATTTTATTAA